CAAATACTGAGTGTGTGAACTAACTGTTTCTAAAGCATATCGCTCTTCGTCAATGATATAGTCCATAGGCTCAGGTCTACCGTATTCATCAACTGCATTACCGTGTCCGTCTTCGTAGAAAATTTGAAAGCTCATATTGTAATACTCGGTTTTTAATGAGAAAGGAAGTAAAAAAAAAAAAAAGATCTAACGGTGCTTTCGTGCTTAATATACTCATATTTTGTACGACAGGGCTCCTACATATACGACATTCAATTTGTCAGCAAGCGAAATCAGCCAATGGTTTACGTGACAATAGAATTTAACGAACGCGAATTTTACTCTTGGCATCAGCGTCAATAGTTTTTGGAAATACTGTATAGCAAAGAACCTTCCTTTTGGATATGCTACCTTCAAAGAAACTACGCTCCTTTCAAGCCGCTCTTCCATGGACCATTCGTTGGCCAGCTATATGCGCTCTTCTTCATGAACTTGACTACCTCCATCATCAGAAGTGTCCACCTTCTTCGCCCCCACACCTTGGGCAAAAGCTCCTCAATTGGCTCCCTCGTTGTCCTCACTAGTGTATCTTACACTTGCCCCAACATCATTTCTTCAATAACTTTTTTACCCTTGATCTCATAAGGGTTTTTTAGGTACCAATTCTTCATTCTTTTTTTGATCTGCCTCGGGCGAAGAAGATATATTATTATTGTGCGCCCACTTGAGGCTTTAATTGTAAATAAAAGACTGTTTAATCGTATAGCAAAGAAATTAACCCATTATTACACCTATGCTTTATGTTATGAGTGGTTTTTATTCTATTAAGAAGCTTCAGAACGCTTTCTTTTATAAAGCTACAGATACTGTCTACATTTAATAACAGGCAATTTTGTGCTTATACATGATAAGGAAAGCATTTTAAGAATGATAAATAATATGATATACCAACACCTTTTGAAATAACATTGTAGCATCTCTATTATAGAGTATCCATTTGTTCAAAATATATATGTAACAAGTGCGTGTTTTAGTGGTAAAGAAGTTTTTCGGCTGGTTTTAAATCGTAGTTAGTTTCAGGCGTATCTATAAAGGTCAGCTAAGTCGACAACTGGAGAGTCTATGACTGCTATTTAATGCTGTCATCTGATAAAGATAATGAAAGTAGAATATATGCTCTAATAATAAGGTATTACAATGATTTTTATCATCAGACATGTCAAGAAGATTGGCTGACAGTTGACATGGTGAGTACAATAAAGACAATTAAAAGAAAAAGTTAAAAAATGCTTGAATACCAAATAATCAAATATAAAAGATTAAAAAGTACAAATATACTTCATCTTGGTAGAAATCGAACTTGAGACACTGTGCGGTTATCACTCCAGTGATGATGTAAGGGCAGCCCTGTGATGATGCAAATGAGAAAATGGCATCTAGTTTTATATGTTCTACTGAACGCTCATAGGTGAGCGTAGTGCCATGAAGTGAAAAATATGATCAGCTGCAATAAAAAATGTCTTTATGGAACACTGTGTGCTTCATAATGACTTTTATCAGTAACAAAATTGTGTTCTTTCATATATTAGGAGAAGAGCTTATACAAAGCAAGAACGATATATCACATAGCCTCGGTTATCAAGTGAATGTTCTTCCATACAATAAGTGCTCCTTTTACTCTATTTCTTATATAAAGTCAAGACAAAAAAGATAGAGTGATAGACTGCATGAATATGAAATGCTACAAACATAAATTATATTAGTGACCTATTCTGTAACAGAGTCTTTTTTTCCTATGGCAACTGTGACCCAGGGAACAGTCTCTGTGACTCCGACTTGTAACACTGTATCAGTTTACACTTTATTAAAGAGAATATCTCACAGGGCTTATTTCTTTCTCTCTTCTTTTTCTTTCTTTCTTTCTTTATTTGTTTGTGTATCTACATAACAATCATATCAACAATGGGAATATGCTGCTGTAAACAATATGAAGAAGACAGAGGTAAAAACATCACAAAGACCCATGATAAAAAGAATGCAACTAACTATGAAAAGAACAATAGAACCAGATTTAAGCCAATTTCATCTATTAAAAATCATTGGACAAGGAGTATTTGGGAAAGTACGCATAGTTCAGCACAAAAGAACGAAAAGACAGTATGCTTTAAAATACATTGATAAATCAATATGCATCAAACAAAGAGCAATCAGCAATATTATTACAGAAAGAACTATACTGGAACGCATTCATCATTATCCACTCTTGACTAACTTGCACTACGCCTTTCAAGATGATGACACTCTCTTTTTCGTTTTAGATCCAATGCTGGGCGGTGACTTGCGCTTTCATTTAGAACAGCAGCTGAATTTCCCTGAATCACAAGTACGACATTATGTTGCATGTATTGCCTTATCATTAAATTATATTCATACAAGAAGAATAGTCCACCGAGATATAAAGCCTGAAAACATCTTGCTCGATCAAAACAACTATGCTCATCTATCCGACTTCAATATCGCCATTCAATTTGATCGACATCAGCCACTTGCTTGGTCAAGAGCAGGTACCGTTGCTTACATGGCTCCTGAAATGCTCGCAAAGAAAGGCTACTCTACTTCAGTTGACTGGTGGAGCTTGGGCATTGTTGCATTTGAATTACTTTTTGGAGTGGTATGTGCATACGTGTATATTTAAAGATTATCTAAATCATCACTAACATACATCAAGCGTCCATTTAGAGCAAAATCAAAAGAAGAACTGATTCACTCAATACTATGTGATCCACTGGTGTTTCCACAAAATGTGTACGATGTCATATCTATGGACTGCATCGACGTTCTTACTGGTGTAAGCAAATTTAATTTTTTTTAAAAAGACATACTCACTTTGTGCAATGATAGTTGCTGGACAAATCACCTTACCAAAGACTAGGGCACCATAACTTTGAAAGGTTCAAATCACATAAGTGGTTTCAAGGCTTAGACTGGGATAAATTAGAAAAGAAGCAACTACCGTCACCTTATCCGCTGGATGTAAGTTCATTCTATATGTGTGCACATCTTGAAAACTAACAGAGT